AAGTTCTACTCTATTCTGTAGAGTCACTATGAATTGGAAGTGACTTGTTAACAGTGAATAAGTGATAAAGATTTTTATTTGATAAATAATATCATGTTATTTCAGCTGATAAGCATACCTGTAGCTCTGTTGTTATACATTGCATTTAATCTTATATGTGTATCAAGCAGTTGCTAAGTCCAAGTATTTCCTGAGTTAATAAATGAGGCAGTTGACTTATCTTTACATTATTGGACAAGAAAATAGTTAATATGCTTTATCAAATAGTCTAGGAAGCAGAACAAGAAAGATACTGTTCTTACCTCCTCCATAATACATTTGAGCATACTTTAATTTGTGGTCACATACTTTCAATATGTCCAAATTAACAAAGACACTGATTTAAATTGTACTTCAACTTATTTAATCACATTTTATCCATTCTACTGGAACCTAATCTATTTTCATTTCCACTCGTTCACATTAAGCATAATAAATAAAACTTTAATAAACCTCTTTTTCATTAAATATTTATTGAATGATGACACTGTACAAAGACCAAGAAAGCATTTAGAAGTAGCTGGACGTAGAGCCGCATGCTAATGAACATGTACTGTGAGCCTTTATAGTTGAATAGTATAATTGCTTAGAGCAACAAATAACACACCATTGCAAATCTACTTCGAAGTGAGCCTAGTTAATCTCATGGTTATTTAATAATCTGCCCCAAGGAACTTCATGATGGGAATAATGTTTAATTCTGCATGCTTCCTTAAAGTGCTGCAAGTATTAGAAATAACCATTTAAACCTCCAATATGCTCAGAGATCTAAAGAAATAAAGTTTTCCTTAAATGGCTCAAATCCATTAATAAAGGCAATCTTAATTTTTCATTGGTCTGAATCAAAAAAATTCAATGGGACTTGTATAAAGAATGCTTATTTATCTTTGTCGTCCATAAAAAAAACTCACTTAAAAAATAAGTATTTGATTAAATTCCAACTCACAAAGCTAATAATAAGAGGGTTGTGAGTTGCCGTACTACCCCCCTTCCTCCTTCAAAAAAGAAAAAGTTAGCGAGCCTTGGTGACCCAGTGGGTTAGGGGTGGGGCTGTAGTCAAAACCTACCAGACACCCACAGGAGAGAAACTGAGGCTGTCTGCTCAGCTCAAGAAAAACAGTCCCAGAAGCCTGCGGAGGCGGACCCGCGGCGTCCTGGAGGGTGGCTCTGAGCCAGAATCGACTTGATTACCATAGGTTTGGATTACATTTTATTCCTTAAAAAAAGGTCCATTATATTTAAATGTGATTTAAATTTACAAGCATATCAACTTGCACACAACTTTCTTGGTACATGTATACAATATGACAATATATGCAGTTTGCCAATTTGTTTGCAAAATCAAGGTGTGCCCTAATAGAGTACCATTTGAAAAGATAGACATTTCCATATGGTGGCAGCTTTGTAAGTGTCTCACAGCCCACCTACCCCTCCCCCCCCATTCCCTGCCTTTCAGGGAGGCATGTTGTTCAAGTTAAGCTACTCAGGGCATCCTCTGTGTGTCCACACGCTAAGGTACACACGGTCTAGAAAGCCTATGGCATTCCCCCGCCCCCCCCATAAACCCCTATATGTGCATACATACATGCAGTGATACCAAGAAAGACAATCCTAAAAACCGCATCATGGGTGTCCAAGTGAAGCCAGAACACTTTCATTCAAATTTGAAATCGATAACACATTTATGTGGAAAATAATCATAATAATTTATAAATTATCAAGGGTTCGTGAAGAAGGGGGGGAAAAACAAGGAGCTGATACCAAGGGCTCAAGTGGAAAGCAAATGTTTTGAGAAAGATGATGACAGCAAATGTACAAATGTGCTTGACACAATAGATGGATGGATTGTGAGAAGCATTGTATGAGCCCCAATAAAATGATTAAAAAAACCAACTCTTATGTGTTAAGAAGCCGTATGGGGTAATTTTCAACTACAAGGCTCACGACGTTCAAGTCCGTGCTGACTCCTAGTGACCCCCGTGGGTTCCGAGACACTAACTGCTGGCGGGAGCGGAGAGCCCGCTCTTTTCCCCCTTGGAGCGGCTGCCGCGGAGGCTTGGTCCTGACCTTGCCACGGCTCCCACTGACAAAGAGGGGAGGGAAAAAATCAGCTCTAAATGAACCAGTTTCTAGAAAATCTTTTATTATAGTTATGACTCAACCCATTGAATTCAAACTGTGCGGCTGCCGAGTGAGAGCCTTTATCAATCCGGCAGGGAGAGAGAATGGAATCCATCAGTGCTGGCTGCCGCCCCACAGCCACGCTTCCAGTTTCTTGAACCGAGGCCCACGAAAAAGGCTGAAATTGCCCCAAGTCAGATGTCAGCTTCTCCATCTCCTCTGCCTCTGCCTCGTGGAGATGTGACCTATTCCTAGGGCTGAGACGCAGGGGGACTAGAGGCAGTCGGAGAGATGAGCCCCTTTCCTGTCATCAAAGAGGTGCTGTGCTGTGTTGAAGAGGTCGTCTTGCATCATGTCAGCAGTCCAAAGCTCAGAGAAGCTGACTGAGAGTTCTGACACCTTTGAGATGCTGACCTCTGGGCTCGTGTCTCCAGACTTCTAGGAGAAAAAGGACGGCTTGAGGCTGCGTTTGGTGAGCTGGCTGGCTCTGGAGCAGCTTTTCCCCTGCTTGTGTGAATTGACAAATAAGGGATTGTGGTTACTTTTGACATTTATTTTATTGAGGGGTCTTACAGCTCCTGTAACATTCCGTACAGCAATTGTATGAAGCTTGTTTGTACATATTGTAGTTATGTTTATATACATATCCAGCCCTCAAAAGCACAGGCTGGGTATCTCTCCTGTGGCAGCAAACAGCATATGCTGCTGTAACCCGAGCGCAGGGGCTGTTTCTCCTGGAACTTCAATGTGCATCCGAGTAAAGGTGACCGGGTATCTGAGATGGGAGTGCATATGCGCACACACCAGCACTAACTCATACATTTTTACTGTGAGAACATTCAGTTGTTGGGTGACTGAGAACTGAAAAAACTGGCATATTAATGTTTAATAAGTGGCTAAAGCAACCTTAGAGATAGCCATTGCCATTAAATGTGTCACATGGACATTTTCCAGTCCTTATTCCTTAGAGCAAGATTGGAGGGGATACTAGGAAGGAGGGGATGGCAGTGACACATGATGTTAGAAATCATAAAGCCACACTCCGGTAAAGCACACGTACCGCACACGGTGGGGGGGGGCACGCTTTATTAGCGTCTACTGTGATGAGATATAATATTTGTGTGTGTGTGTATCAAGAATGCCGAGTTTCAAATGAAATAGAAAAGCTGAGTGTGGCTTGAAGAAAAGGAATCCATGACTATGTCTTAGACCCCAATGATGCCAGAGTTGAATCTCTCTAGTCTAGACATCTGGCCATCCCCTGACCATGATGCAACCACCGGGACTGTTCTTGGACCACACGGTAGTCTGGCTTACCCAATGCGTGTGGTTTTGGGAAGAGCACCACCCTGCAAAGTCTGCTCTGGGAGTAGCTATAATTAGTGTTGCTCAGAAGCCATAGGGATAGCCCTCATTCGCACAGAAGGAAGAAAAACAGAGAAAGTAGTCTCTAGAAACTATTCGCTGCGGTAGGTATCACAAAGGAGGGGACAAGAGGCCTGGGGGGGCGCCCACAGTTTTCCGGAGGACCAGCAGGTTGTCACAGAGCTGCTGACGAGCTTGACCCCACCAATCTGCCTGTGGTGATGTCCAAGGACGCCATTCCTGGTTTGCATCCTTCAGTTCCCCACCCAACAGGCTGGGGAGAAAGTGCCAGGGGGCAGGCTGCACTTCAAGAGAGGACTCCGCTTCACACCCTGCTCTGGCCCACGGCATCTCTGGGAAGCCGTCAGGGAGGTTCAAATAGC